TTGAAGACACTGTTAGAAGGGACTATTTCCACCACAACAAGATAAAGGTAAATAATCCAATAGAAAAATGAGCACAGGATATGAACAGACACTTCACCAAAGATGGCGAAGAAGCACATGAAGAAATGCTCAAAATCCCTAGTTCTAAGAGAGATGCGAATTAAAACAACTATGAGATAGCATCTCACCCTAGTCAGAATTGCAAAATTTAACAGAATAGCAAGCAACAAATGCTGACAAGGTTGTGGAGAAACTGTAAACTTTATTCACTGTTGGTGGGAGTGTAAAATGGTGCAACCACTGTGGAAGGCGGTATGGCACTTACTCAAAAAGTTTCAAATAGAGATACCATTTGACCCAGCAATTCCACTACTGGGAATACACCCCAAAGAGACCATAACTGACATCCAAGCAGATATATGCACATCCATGTTTATTATGGCTTTGGTCACAGTAGCAAGGAGTTGGAAACAACCTAAGTGCCCATCAACAAACAAATGGATAGAGAAGCTGTGGTATAGTCACACAATGGAATACTATGCTGCACTGAAAAACAAGGAAAATGGGTGACTCTGGAGGACATTACGCTGAGTGAAGTATCTCAGTCACAAAAGGACAAATACTGCATGGTGCCACTGTTGTAAAATAGGACTGACCTCGGGGTTGGGAGGAGACTGAGAAGGATGGGTTCAATAATGTATACTGCACTGAAACAGATGAGGGAGAAAACGGTTTGAAAGGGATATGTGATTAGGTATTTTTATCATGACAGGATGGTGGAGTGGACCTGGGGGAGGGTTTGTAAAACAATGAAAGAATTTCTCTTTTACTTTTCCAAGAGGGTAGTGTACTGGGGGGGAAGGTTGGGAGGGGAGAAAAATGCAACAATGAATGAAATCCAAAGTCTCTGTAAATTTTTACTGAAAATAATAAATTGAAATAAATTTTTAAAAAAGGAGGGACTATTTCTTGGAAAGGGACAGCATGCTTAGAAAGGTGGAGGGTCAATGAGAGAATTTCAAGGAAATGGACTGACACACTGACAGGAGCTATGGGCTCCAGTGTGTTAGAGACGATAAGGATGGCATGGGCTAGGGCATGGTTTAGATCTGCTGTTCATAGGGTTGCTATTAGTCATAGATGCCTCAAGGACACATAAAGCAGCAATAGTACCATCACCAGGAGCTGCTGCTGAGTCTATTCTGATTCACAGTGTATGTCAGAGAGTAAATACATTCCTCAGGGTTTTCAAGATTTTTCAGAAGTACATTGTCAGATCTTTCTTTGGAAGTACCACTGGGGACTCAAACCTCCAACATTTAGGTCAGTAGTTGAGCATGGAAACAGTTTGCACTAGCCTGGGGCTCAAAGGAAGAAGACTGATACAAGAAATTTCAAGTAGTACGGTTTGGCTGGCTCACAGGGAAGATTAAGAGAAGAACCTGAATGTTAGAGCCAAGACTGAGAAGGTTCAAGAATTAATTTTAAGACAAAAGTTTTAGAACTTGATCCACCAGAGCAGAGGGACCATAGAAGGTTGAAGAGAGATGCATACATGATCAAGAGCCACTTTAGTATTACCACAATAAAACAAAATCTCCTTTGCTTATTCTACTTAAATGAAAACTTTTAAGAACTTAGGGCTCTGATTGAGTTGTATCATTTCCATCACTTCAGAACTCTTGAAGAAGAGTATTTTACTGAAGAGTATTTTATTGAAATAATGTTTTTTCCCAGTAACTGTATTTTATTGAAAGAATACAATAATGGCATAAAATAGACAAAAATTTTCCTAAGAAGTTCTATTTTTTTTTAGCCATCTCAGGTTTCCACTTGGCATAAGTGGTCATTGGGAGATTTTAAGGTAAATAATAAAGTATTCTAAGCATATTATTACCTCACTGTCACCAAGCAATACTTATTGTTAGGTGCTCTAGCCCACTGAGCTCTGGTAAAGTAATGGTAAGGAAATGCACTGCCAAGAAAGGTCCAAGGTTTAAATCTACCAGCCACTTCACCCAAGGAAGATGGGCAATCTCCTTCCCTGTGATGTACTACCTCTGAAAATAGCCTGTGTATTTTAGTTTGTGGGGCTTATTCCTTGCTATACTCTGTATTAAAGCCTTTAATAGGACATTTATAATTAAATTATGACTCCATGACATGAGGCTCCAGAAAATCAAAATTAAACAAAGTTCAAGAAGAGCCTACACTCTAACAGCATTTCACTATTAAAAAACAGAATGCATTGGTAATAATTACACTTTGCTATAATAATTAAAAATGCCCTGCAAATGTTTTAAAGTTGTGCACATGCACATTTCATTACCAATTTTTAGCTGGGAAACCTTTGCTCTCTTTTGCTTATACCTTAGCTGTTTCTTAGACCGTTGCCCAAAAGCTTTTAGACCTCTGATACTATTCACTAATCTAGGATGTAGAAGATTCTCTGTGAAGTTATACCAACAGACCAGGATGTCAGCTGCTTTTTTTATCTTTTTTTAATGTTCCTGAGAGCAACCTCTGAACATATAATACAGGAAAAAGTCTACTTTAAAGCTGTTCAAGGTTTCCTGGCTTGTAGCCATCTTGGCCCTTATCTCTTCTCAGGAGAGCTGAATTTCATCCAACAACTCTCCATCCGAGATTCCTTTTGCCCATCATGTCAACAATGCTAAAACAAGGAAATGTAAAACATGGACTTCTAGTTAGTTCTGCATCCCTTATGACAAAACTTCTACATTTTCTTCTTATCTCAAAGGTGCTAAATCATGGTATAATTATCTCTGTATTTTGATGGGCAACAAAAACCTGCTTTGCTAATTGGTTTCATCCAGTCTTTCCCTATCTCTAAAATAATCCTGAAATTATCCAATCTGGAATTACTCAGTTGTGATGGTCTCAACTCTAATGATTAGTAACCTCCCCATGTCTCCCCCCCCCCCAATGAGATGAAAATAAATCCCACAGGGCATTTGGGTGGAACAGAAGACAATCAGGCAACTACTTTCACATCTGATTTTTTGAAGAGTTATCCTTTTTAACTCCAACTTTGGGCTTTAAAACTTCAGAGACATACTGAAAAATATTATTTAGTTCATGTACAGAACTTCACTAACATTTCTAGTGTATTTTCCACAGAAAGTTCATTTTGAAAATATATGAGTATGCTGGTTCTTGAACACATTCATGGACAAAATGGAAAATGTTCTTGAAACAAAGATAAGCTGCTTTTGCTGTAATCTTCAGGAAATTTTCAGTCCGTTATTCAACTGATAGTCTCTTCACCACAAAGCTATCTATTTGAGGCCATGTTAATTTCTTCCAGCCATAAACAACAGGACAGTTATGGCCAACATCCTTCCACTGGACACATATGGCAACCTAAGATCTTATGTTGTTCTCCAACTGTTTTATATCTAATATTTTACCTTGATAAACTCTACCAGTAATACTAGGCCACAAAGAATTTTTAATGGCTAGTTTTTCAGAAGCCAACTTCCAAGTCTTTCTCCAGAAATGCCTCTGGATGGACTTAAACTTCCAACCTTTCTGTTAGAAGCCAGCACGTTAACCATTTATACCACGCAGGTATTCTACAAAAACTAAACTGGGAGATAAAACATGTCAAATATCGGTAATATTGTCACTCTCTCATGAACTACACCACTGGGCTACAGTATTACATTTTTTAATAAGTGAGAGGGAAGAGTACAGTAGTAGACTTTTACACTACTCAGAATGTCTCTAGAAAATAAAGCTTCTATATGAAACCTATGCAAAATTAGACAATTACAGCACGGTTCTTAAACTCAAAATTCAATCTTTTGTCCTTTATTCATGGGCCTGAGTTCAATAATCTATTTGAAAAGTTGATCTGTCAAACTCAAGTGAGTGTGAGAAGGTGACATAAAATCCCTAAGAGAAAAGCAGGGGGGTTTCAACATCCCTATCACAAGGTTCACCACACTGCACATAGTGTATCCATTGGGCAATGTCAACCCACTGGCAGATGATGGTCAGCAAAAACTGCTGGGACTTAAAAACTGGGGTGGTCAGTAGTGACCAGAAATGCCTGGGCCCAGTGTCACAGTTGCCATTACCCATCACACTCCAAAAAGGAATTTTTAAATCTTCTTTTAAACTGGGAGCATATACAAACAGTTTGTTTGAAGCAATGAGGTGTGTAATTTACCAACTTCCTTCCCCCACTTATACAATTTATCTAAATGAGCAAGAGGCTTTTTTTATGAGCTGTTTTTATAATTGCCTCCATTATGTATGTAATGCCTTGCCTGATTTGGGTTGGCTCAGGACACCCACCGAGACTTTGTGAGAATGTGTTTGTAAATTACTTTGGAATTCCAGAATTTAGCTGGAAGGGAGTGAAAGTATCTTTGCACCTGAAAGCCCCGTCTAGAGACCATCTGCTAAGAGTAAGCACTTATTCACCCGGCTCGCACCTTCCTGCCAAGGCACCTTTGTAAATCTCTATTTGCTCCTTGAAATTACTACGTGGGAAGTGGAGGCTGTTTTAAATGTAACCGTGTACAAATGTACAACTTCCATTTCCTCCAAAACCTGTCATAATCTAAGAACTGAGGTTGCTCTCAAAGTCTCAGCCTCCCCCCCCCCCCAGTTTAGTATCCTTCTCACTCTGGCTTCTGTAAAGAACAAGAGTAGGGACGTCCACGAGCTAAAAAGTTTGCAGTAAAGTTCCACTTAACTCCCAACCTCGTCCCAAAGTCCTGCTACTTTACTAAGGAGGTAAAGGCACCCCCTTCCCGTGCCCCAAAGAAAGAAAATTAACTGTTAAACTCCAGAAAGTAATTAAGCCCACCTTCTGGTAGTAAGGAGGAATTTTTCAGTTTTTCCTCAGATTCCCGCCGCGAGAAACCATCCCAACACCGAAGCCCCCCAAAAAACTGGCCGGGATCAGGGAAAGCCCACTCTCCCCTACAAGAGAGGGGCGGGGAGGGGGGATCCCAGAAAGCACACACCTGAGATAGATCCTCTCACGCGAGGGAGCAGAGCACCCAGTTCCTCCAGCCAGGGCGGAGCCTCTGCCTCCCTCCCGAATCAGAGCCGCGGCCCGGGTGCTCGCGGCCAGGCGCGGGAATGTCACTCCCGGGCCCGCAGCGCCAGTGTAACCCGACGCGCCCGGCGCCGCCGCGCCCCCACCCGCCCTCCCGGCTACCTCCCCTCCCCCGCGCCGCTCCGCCTCCCTCCCGAGGGCAGAGCCTGCGGCGCGGCCGCCACCTCCAACCTGGAGGCCCCGGCCCAGGCTCCTCCGGCCCAGCGGGGAAACGCGGAAGTGGCAGCGGGAACCCAGGGCGGGGAGGCGGCTCGGCGACCAGCGGGCGACGAGCGAGCGAGGTCTTCGCCGCCCAATGAACGGGATTATACGGGGACACGGGGACACAGGTCCCGCCGGGTGGGGCCACGCCGCGGTGAGGGCGCAGTAGCCGTGGCCCCAGGTGGCAGCAGCTCCTGGCAGCGCCTTCGCGGTGACGGCCACAAACCCGCCGGGCCCGCCTGGTGAGCCGGGAAACCTCCGTCGGGCCGGGCGTGGGGGAGGATGGTGCACGGATCGGATTTCCTACACCCTCCCCCGCCATCTGGCCTGCACTGGGAAGACACTCGCCAGCTCCGCGCCGCCAGACACAGGCTTACCTGATTTCTAGTTGCCCACTCGGATCTGGATTCCCCTCTACTCGGCACTCCCAGCAGGCCCGTCGTCCTGGGCCTGCAAGCGCATCGAGGGGTCAGGCAGACCCCTGGGGCCTTGCTGACAGAACCCAGAGCCCTCGCCCGGCTCCCCGCGCTCTTTGGAGGCGAACTCGGCCTCCTGACCCCCTGCCTGAATGTCAGCGCAGGGGCCCGCCGAGAAGACCAAGCCTTAGCACCAGGGGGTGGGGTGCTGAGCACAACAGGCTCCACAGGCCTGGTACAGGTGACAGCAGAGCAGCAGGCTTCCCAGTGCACCCCTCAAAATCCGACCCTGCCCACTGAGCATGCCCAGCTCACTTGTTGGAGCTGCTAGTGCTAGGCGAGACCAAGTGGACCCAAGGAGGGCACAGATGGAGTTAAGACTTCAGAGGGCTGCAAAATGAAGCTTTCTTAGTGCATAGTCAGAAAGGCCTTCTAAAGGAAGACAACAATTCAACTAAAAGACAAGTGGTTTCTATTTATTTCCCCCATTTATTAAGCCAGTACCACAGAGTTCACATAATTCACCCAGAGTGAATTTGCTCAACAACAACAATTTGTACACTTTCTTGGAGGAAGCAGGAGTGGCATTCACTTCCTAAAACAGCATGCCTTTGGAAACTCTATGAACTTTGATAAATGTCCATAGTTGTAGAGGGGCTTCAGGTCTTTTGTTAATAGGGTCGCCGTGAGTCCTGCTTAACTTGAAGGCAATCAAAAAGAACAACTTGGAGGAAATGCAATCAGGGTGCTCCTTAGAGTCAAGGACTGTGAAACCTTACTTTGGGGTAAGGATTGACTCACGTTCTCTGGGCATGTTGTCAGGAGGACCCAGTTCTTGGGAAAAGACATTTTACCAGGAAAGGTAGAGTCACAGAAAGACAAAGACCCTTGACAAGATAGATTAACAGAGTGACTGTACCAATAGTCTGGAGCATATTGAAGATGAGGATGCTATAGAATAGGACAAAGTTCAGATTTGTTGTTCATGCAGCCGCTACGAGTCATGGTTGACTCCATGGCACCTAACAACAATTTGTGCACCCTCTTGCATACACTGAGTCCCAAATTCATAATAATGGCAGGAAACCACCCAATGGGATGGTAGGTCTGGATACACACATTTGAGTCACCTAAAAGTTTTAAAAATAGTCCAAATTCACTATGAAGTCCAGCAGCAACCCTAGCCAAGTATATAGCAAATATTGATTCAGTGACTGGGGTAATGGGAGTAGGTGTGTCAGAGACACTAAGATTGGCACAGGATAGAGCAGGGTGTAGGGCTGTTGTAACATAGGATTGCTATGAGTCACAGGTGACTCAATGGCACATAACAACAACAACATGCTTTAAAATGTGCACTTCAGTGACAGAGGCCTGAAGCTAAATGTAATTGGCCAGTTGAGGGAAGTCACAGTAGTTTCATGAGCTTGAGGCCATGTTCCATTTTTACAGCACAGCTAGCTTTACCTCCTGGGGTAGGAGCTCTGAAGACACACAGCTGGAATCCACCACCTGCTCCAAGGGAGAAGGATGAGCAGTTTTCTCCCATGTGATCGTCTGCCTCTGAAAACCCTCCGAAGGGTCAGCTATGTATTGGTTCCAACTTTACAGTACTCAACAACCACCATCTTCTGGGGTGGATCATAAAACCGTATCTAGGGATAAATCTTAATCAGATTATGTACTATTTTCTAGAACACACAGACACATTCAGGTAGGGTCAGAAAGTCAACAAAATGGAATCACTTTAGTTTCAGTCAACCTTATACATACTGCTTCTGATGTCCAGATCAGTTCAACCCGTTTCCACTCAAGAGATCTGGAAGTCCTCATATTTTAAAACTGTGTGTCTTAAAGTGTAACTATAGATGCATCAGAGTTTGATAGAAATGCAAATTCTCCAATCCTACTTCAGACTGTTCCGTAAATTCTAAAGTTGAGTCAGAATTACTGATTTTGCCCAAGTGTCTAACATCATTCCAAAACATAAATCTCGTGGGATCAAGTGAGTCTCGGGAGTCCCTGAATAATTCCGTGCTTTGAGAAAGGAGACCATCTGTTGTTCACTTTTGTGCTCAACTGCTTACCACCATGCTGATAATATATGTTTGATATATATTTACTGAGTTTAATCAATAATGTGTACTTATGTTAACAATTTGTTCCAGGTCCTATTTTCTCTGCCATTTATTTAACCCTACGAGTTGCCTTGCTTATTAACAAACAAGCAGGGATTTAGTTCTTATCCATGACCTGTGATGGTCTAGCCCAGGTCAGACCTGGATGAAATGGGGCCTAAGACTTGCATATTTTCAGAAGAAAAATCCAGAAACATTAAACAAGGTACTTCTTGCCAAAGTTGATATTCAATGCAACCAAAGAGAAGGAGAAGGGCTATTGATGCTGGAGAAAGAAGGAAAAACAGAAAAGGAAGCAGGGTAGGATAAGGAAAACTAACTTGGTCCATCTACAATTTTCTCTGGATATTCTTCAAAATAACTTACTTCTATCCTCTGTCTTGTATTAATTCTGGTGGCCTAGTGATACGAAGTTGCACTACAATCCCAAAGACACAGAGTTCAAATCCACCAGCCACTCTGTGGGAAGAGGATGGACAGTATCCTCCCATGCAGTTGGCTGCCTCTAAAACCTGCTCTTGGGTGAGCTACTGAGTCAAATCCAACTCAATGGCACACATAACAGCAGCTAACAATAATTGCCATGGTCTGTCTTACTCTGTCAGAGAGCTGGACAATGACCAAGGATGACAGAATACATGCCTTTGAGTTGTGATACTGGAGAATAGTATTGAACATACCATGGACTGCCAAGAGAACTAACAGATCTGTCCTGGAAAAGTTGAAACCAAGTTGTTCCTTGGAGGCAAGGATTTTTAGAGTCTGTCTCAACTACTTGGGGCACGTAGCCAGGAGGGATCAGTCTTTAGAGACGAATATCATGCTTAGAAGGGTTGAAGAACACAGCACAGGAAAGGAAGGCACTGCATGAAATGGATTGACAATAACTGGGGTAATAAGGATAGGTGTGCTAGAGATAGTGAGATTGTCTCAGGATAGAGTAGGGTTCAGCGCTATTGTGCATAGGGTCGCATAGAAGTCAACTCCACGACAAATAAACAACACCCTGTCTCCCCTTCTTCCATACACGTATTCAATCTCAACTATTGCCTTAAAAAGAATGATAAGAAATTATTATAAAATTGTTACTGGATAAAACCCTTGATGACTTATGACCTATAGCTATGGGTGTCATTTTGTTTGGAAATGAGATTTCTTTTCTTATGTTAATGAGTCTTCAATTGTTAAGCATAAACATTGTAGAGATACAAAGAGCAGTTCAGACACAGAAACATACAAGACTAAAAGAGGCAAAGTGTAAATGGACAAGGAACAGAAGAATGCTGGTCTAGAGAAAACAAGACCAGGAATTTCCGCAATGCAGGCAGAGAACCAACCCTAGAGCCAGAACCTTGAATTAAAACATCTAACTTCCTAAATTGTGAGAAGATAAATTCTTTGTTAAAGCCACCTTCTATTAATACTTTAGTTATAACAATATTACATAATGAAGACATTGTTAAAATGGTATCGAATTCTTTTTAATGTTCTTTTTAAAAGATGAACACTAAATAATTTTAATATTGTATGAGAGGCTAAAATCAGAGACACCTGACCTGTGTGTGTATGTTGTTGTTGTTGATATGTACAAAGGAGTCAGAATCTACTCATAACTGATCCTCCAAAAGATTTTTTGCAGAGGCTGTAAATCATACAGGAAGAGATTACCCATTTTTCTCCTATGGAACAGCTGGTTGGGTTGGCAGAACCACTCCTGACCACTAGGCCAACAGAACCACCTTAAAATGTTGCACTGGGATTTCTCTTTCACTAAGGACTCCAATAATTACTGAGAAATCAATGAACATCTATCCCAACTCATTTCCTATAAAAGATGGTTGTTATTTCTCAAGGATTCCAAACTTTAACCAGGTTATCAACCAAGATGCCTCTGCTTGTGGGTTAATCAACATGTTCTGAATGAGAACAAAAAATGAACAACAGCAAAAATGTTGTACTGGGAAAATCTGTTGTCAAAAACTAAGGTGCACTTGATCCAAACCATGGTCTTTTCAAATACTTACTACGCAAGTGAAAGTTGGACAATGAATAGGGATAACAGAAGAATCGATCCTTTTGAGTTATGATGTTGGGAGAAGAGTGCCAAAAGAACACGGATTGCAACAATGATTATGATAGTGGAGTTGAGCACAGTGGGCATTGTGAGAATGGTGCAAGGTTTCAATCATGTGGTTGTTATGAGTTGTAATTTGTAGACTTGAGGGCACATCACAACAACAGGACCATTACATGCACTTTTACAGG